CAGACACATCCTCATCTGCTACGTCACATTGCACAGATGCATATAGAAGCAAACATGGCATCCGACAGCTTCACTTACTTCACGGATGGGTCAGTAGACCAGCAGGGACAGGAAACCGGAGCTGCAGTTAAAGCAGGAAACTCTGTATATAGTTGGAGGCTCTCAAATGGGTGTTCGACTTTACAGACTGAGATGCTAGCCATTCAAAAGGCTTTGGAACATGCTCTTGCTGAACACCACCAACATGTTATCGTCCATACAGATTCGAGAACCGCCATTGAAACCTTGCAACAGGAACACATATGTGATAACATCCATCTGATCACCAATGTCTTATCATTCATGCACACACTCCACCGACAAGGCCGACGGGTGCTTATCAACTGGGTGCCAAGTCATGTGGGACTATTAGGTAATGACATTGCAGACGTAGCTGCAAAACTTGCTACTAAGAGGAGGAATGTAGACATTTCCATACCACCGAGTCTCTCCCAGATGAAGAAAGTGATTCGAAACAGAGCAATGCGAAGGCTGTACAGTGACCACGACGCAGCAGTTGCAACATCAGGATCTGCGGGTTGGTACAAGAATTCCACCAACTACGAACCACTTAGTTTGATGAAAGGGGGCAGTAGAACAACAGAAGTGCACTTACATCGCATCAGGCTTGGATACCCATGTGCATGGGAAATAGGCTTACGGGTTCCGGAAGGTGAGAGGAAATGTCAACACTGTGGAGAAATGCCCGACAGACCACTGGAACATTATCTAACACAGTGCACAGTTACATACCCGTTAAGATTTCACCTTCGATTCGACAGAGCAGAGGAAGTTGTTAAACACATATGGCAAAATCTTACTGAAGCGACCATACGGGTCATACATACTCATCCTCCGCCCAGGTAAACCAGAAACGAGCATCACTTAGTGGGCCAGCCAGAGGCTTAGGGCCCGCGCAGGATTATCCCTGCTAAAAAGAAAAAAAAAAAAAAAAAAAAACCAATTGCACTAAAAAATAAGAAGCACAGTTAAAAAACGGAATGAAAAACAATGAAAATGAAACAAATTAGCTATACCCACGAAATGAATGGTATGGTAAAAACACAGCTCAATTGCAACACAACGTCACACAAAATAAGTCAATCAAAATGAAAATAAATAAAAATCTATGAAAATTCAATATATTAATGCAATCGGAAACACTGAAATTGAATCGTAACATATCTTGTATATTGTATGTTGCTGTTACATGCAACAGATGGCGCTGTTTTTTAAAAGATGCATGTTTTTAGCTGTCACAGTTGTGGCATCTAATTAGTAGGTATATCAAAACACACACGTATTCGAAAGGAATGTCGTGTCAAAATTTGAAAGCAATCGGTGAAGAACTTTCGGAGATTACAGCATGTGTTGCTGATACGTCATACAGATGGCGCAGTTTGTCAAAAAAAGCATGTTTTTCCTGTGACAGGTGAGTCATGTATATAGTAGGTATATAAAAACACGCGCCTATTCGAATGCAATGTTGTGTCAAGATTTCAAAGCAATCGGTAAAGATGTTTCGAAGAATTCCCTCACTTGAAAAACACACGAAAAACACAGCTTTTCTAAAAAAGCATCTTTTTTCCCGTCACTGACGTGACATGCCATCTATATAATATGTATATAAAAACCCGCTCGGATGTGAATGGAACGTTGTGAGAAAATTTCAAGGCAATCGGTGAAGAACTTTCGGAGATTAGCGATTTTGAACAAACAAACATTTCCATTGATATTTATATATCTTAGCAGTACCCGGCCACGCTTGCTGTGGCTCAGAAACGCATGTGCGTTGCTGAGCCACAGCAACCATCCCTGTCCCCTTGTCCTCCCCACCATTCCCCCCTATCTTGTCCCCTCATCCTCCCCACCATCTCTCACTTCCGTCCCCTCGTCATCCCCACCATTCCCCACTCCCTCGTCTGATGCCTTCCCAAATGGTCTGATGTTCCCATCAGAAAATTGGGAATATCAAGTGATCTAATGTTCCCATCACTGAAAAATAAGAAAAACAGTTAAAAAATAAAATGAAAATATGAACAAATATAAAAATAAACTATTCTCGCGAAATGAACGGTATGGTAAATAACACAACTCAATTCCAATGCAATTCACACAAATAATTTAATCAAAATGGAAATAAATCAAAATCTATGAAAATTCTATTTATCAATGCAATCAGAAACATTTGGATGGAATTGTAACGTAACTAGTATAGCATGTGTGTTGTTTTTACATGCAACAGATAGCACTGTTTTTCAAGAAAAGTTTTACCTGTCACAAGTGTAGTTTTACCTGTCACAAGTGTGGCATCTATACTTATACTTACAAATGAATGGTATGGTAAACAACACAGCTCAATTCCCACACAATGTCACACAAAATAATTCACTAAAAATCAAATAAATCGAAATCTATGAAAATAAAATTTATCAATGCAATCAGAAACATTGAAATGGAATTTGTTATATATGTAGAGTAGCGTGCATGTTGCTATTATGTGCAACAGATGGCGCTGTTTTTAAAAAATACATGTTTTTACCTGTCACAATGGGGGCATCTATATAGTAGGTATATATAAAGATGCGCCTATCCGAATGCAACGTTGTGTCAAAATTTCAAAGCAATTGGTGAATAACATTCGAAGATTACAGTATATGTTGCCCTTACGTCCAACAGATGGGGCTGTTTAAAAATAAAAGCATGTTTTTTTCCTGTCACAGGTGAGGCATGTATATAGTAGACATATAAAAGACGCGCCTATTTGAATGCAACGTTGTTTCAAAATTTCAAAGCAATCGGTAAAGAGGTTTCGAAGTTTTCCCTCACATGAAAAACAAATGAAAAACAACAGTTTAAAAAAAAGCATGTTTTTGTACCATCACAGACGTGACATCTATATAGTATGTATATAAAACCTGCTCGGATGCGAGTGGTACGTTGTGTGAAAATTTCAAAGCAATCGGTGAAGTACTTTCGGAGATTAGCGATTTTGAACAAAACGAACATTTCCATTTTTATTTTTATAAATTATTTGTAGATTGAACGTAAATCTTTTGTAAAGGAAAATTAGACTCGTCTATATGACTTACAAACTGAGTACAGTTAAATGGAAATATTACAGATTACTCAGAAATGAGATAAGATCTGGTATGAAGGCGCAGATGACATGGCATGCTCGGTAGACTGTCTGAATCATGGCGGAGGGCGCATGCGGTAGCCGACGGTCCTGATTTTAGAGGGTTACACTGTCAGATATCCAGATAAGCCACAGTTTTTTAATCATTAAGTTGCAGGAGACTCTGGAGTAGGTTGAGGAATTACTGAGTTGGGATATATAGAGAGTCCAGGTTCCCTAATACAGAATATTCATATGTGTCTGGTTATTATTACATGTGTGGTTACTCTTTAAACCTACGATTATAAGACCATGGAGTTTGGGTTTAGAGTATTGCTTATGTTATTTGTGAATCGTAAAACATATTGTTGGCTGATCATTATTATATATGTACGAAGGTACAGTTACTGTCAAAAGTCTCTTTCATGGGTAAGGGGGGTGATAATCTTTGCAGCATTGCTTTCATGGGTAAGGGGGTGATAAACTCGGCAGCACTTCTTTTCGAGATGCCAAGTTGTTTCAAGAACTTCCACATATTTGCATTATATTGTTGAGGAAAACTGTTCTTTACTGTTAATATTTAAAATTAATTCTTTGATATCATAATTCTTTTTCATGACAAATTAGAGCTTATGTTCAAAGACAATCCAGGAAGCATGTAGCATAAACCGAAGATTCCATATACAACAGTAAATAACCCACATTTAATGAATGAAAGCCCAGATTGCTTGTGTCATAGATTGCGATTGGTCCTATGAATATTAACATTTTAACATGACGATTTAAATATATCCATATAAACCACAACAGATAGTTATATGATGTTATTAAATTATTTTCATTTTATCACCAACTATATGAGAACTGTTTATTTCATTATTCACGTCTAGTAGTTGCATACCAATTTTTTTTTTACTGTGAATATCCTTATTTGTGTTTAAAATTAAGCTGTTTTATTGGCTAAAAAAAGTGCAAAGGTCATCTTAATTTTTGCTGGTATACAGAGGGGGAGTGAGCAAGATAGACCAGTAAAAGCTGGTACTTCAGCCCATCCTCATAAACAAAGGCCAAAGTCCATTCCATGCACCTAACAAACCCCCTGTTCATGAATGAAATTTACACACGACTCACAACTGATGACGTCCGGGCACTTCCAGAACAAGTGCTTTGCTGACGACTTTTGTTCGAACCACAACGCTGTATATGCTTCACCCACGTACTACAAATACAAATAATCGTCAACAGAACCTAAACACCTAACATAACATAACCTATGCCTAAATATGCACATTATGCTTTTATATATCAATATTAATTTATACATAAGAAAATTCCGGTTTTGAATGAATAGCTTGTTAAAATGGATGGATGCGTCTGTGAGGTCGACCGCTGGATGGAATGGACTTGGTCTGAGATCGGATTGGGCACTTATATTTTTGACATAAAAAGAAAAATTATTGTTTTAAAATGTGTGCTACGATTATAATAGCTGCATTTTTCCTTTATTATTTGGCAAATTCCCATTTCGTTTTCTAAATTTACTTTCTAAACCAAATCTTCAACCATGATATTGTGACTCATCGTCTGCACCATTACTGTTGCAAGAACTGAACCCTGTGGTATTCCACTCATGATATATCTGCAGTCCAATACATTGTCTCTGATTACTGCCCTCATTTTTCTGTCGATTAAATTTTTTTTAAGCCTTATTAGAACTCTCCCTCTCCCTCTATATCCTTAAGTATGTTCCAGTCTCCAGAACAACCTTTTATGTGTGACACTGCCGAAATCCTTTTTTTGGTCCAGAAAAATACAGTCAACCCAACCATCTATTTCCTTTAAAGTCTATGTGACGCTCATAGAAACTGTAAATTCGTTACACAGGATCTCCCAAATCGAAAAATCATAAATGAGGGTGAGGATTATTTTGGACCCAAAACAAAAATATTAAATAAACACGTAAACTAATTAAGTAGACATTTTAAACATTATCAAATGAGATTATTTACACAATTTTTTTTTCTTACAGTGAAACATCATTATTAAGGAAATATCTGAGACAACAGCAGCTGTGGCAACACCGGGGAAGACAACAGTAGCTGTGACAACACAAGGGAACAGCAGCAGCATCAGAGGAAACAGCAGAACCACCACCAACATACCTAAACTGTATTAATACATCGTAAACAGATATGAGTGAACAGGACTACAATGACCACAGGAAACAACACAAGAAGAAACATGGGAATAACAGGGTCAAGGAGAGGCAGAAGATTTTGGTGATGACTTGTGCTGTGATGTGGCTGTTTATTGTGATGGCTGATACTGTGCCTCATGTCCTCACATTTCCTCTGCTGGCTCTTACTGACCCAGCGGTAGAAGAGTCAGTTCATATTGCCCCTTGGCTTGCTGACGCGGTGCTTGTTGACGCGGTGCCTACTGACCAGTTGCTGGCTAAATCGATGTCTTCTGACCAGGTCCCTGCTGATTCAGAACATGCAGGCACCACACCTGTCTATCCTACATCTGCTGGTCCTCTTCTTCATGTGGCACCAGTTGACATGCCAGAAATTGATTCCAAACCTACTGACTCTGCACCTGATGACCTTGCACTTGTTGTGCCAGTATCTGCTGACCATATACCCACAATCACATCATCCGCTTACATCGGAACTGAAGGTATGCAATAATTCAGATGTTAATGATCAGTTTCTTCAACATGAAAACCGCCTCAGAATGAATACACAAATTCATTAGGACTCACATACCTGTCACTCACTCAAAAATGAGAACATTTTGACATACATATCTGTCTCACTCAAACACACAACCATTCTCACATACATACACTTAGGAAAGAGTATGACTAAAATGGTGCCCTCCGTTCAATCTTACAATGTTGCATGCAGCTGCAATGTTGCAATCATATAAAATGGGAATGCTGCATGATTACCATATGTTGCAGCATGGAATAACAAGGTAAGAAAAGCGTATGTAGTGAACGAAGTTAAAAGATAAATTCAAAAGTCGGGTTCTAAATTGAAACACCGAGAGTGTTTCATTCAGTTTTCAATTATTTGGGTACAAGTGAACTTTAGCTACACTGTAAGTATGGTTTTCCAACCGTAGATTTTCTTTGCAACATCCTTAGTGGTAAGAATGTGGAGAATGAATAAAGTAAAAAAAAAAGTTCAAGGGGAATTCCAAATATTTGATAACGTTGAAAACAAGATCATATAGTAGAACGTTTCCTACTCTGTAATTATGGTTTTGCAATCGTAGATTTGCCTTACAACATGCATTAGGCTTATGTTTGGGTACAAGAAACGTTTAAAGGAAAGTTTTATAACGTGTGGAAATGCATTTCATCGTCACTGCTAGGTCAGTGGAAGGATGATTCAATTTTCCCAATTAACGTACTAGTAAGCCATTACACATTCGTCACTATCAACCCCTGCATTCTTCACCTGTCACATGCACACTTGTCACCTCCTCCTCCCCCTCTACGCTTTATTGTGCAAATAATGTCCATGCATCACTAACCATCCTTACCTAATCTAATTAGATCTATTATATGTATAGCAGAGAGGGAAGAGGGGAGAGGGCGGGGGAGAGAGAGAGAGAGAGAGAGAGGGCAGGAGAGAGAGGGTGGGAGAGAGAGAGAGAGAGAGAGGGGAGAGAGAGAGAGAGAGAGAGAGAGAGAGAGAGAGAGAGAGAGAGAGAGAGAGAGAGAGAGAGAGAGAGAGAGAGAGAGAGAGAGAGAGAGAGAGAGAGAGAGAGAGAGAGAGAGAGAGAGAGAGAGAGAGAGAGAGAGAGAGAGAGAGAGAGAGAGAGAGAGAGAGAGAGAGAGAGAGAGAGAGAGAGAGAGAGAGAGAGAGAGAGAGAGAGAGAGAGAGAGAGAGAGAGAGAGAGAGAGAGAGAGAGAGAGAGAGAGAGAGAGAGAGAGAGAGAGAGAGAGAGAGAGAGAGAGAGAGAGAGAGAGAGAGAGAGAGAGAGAGAGAGAGAGAGAGAGAGAGAGAGAGAGAGAGAGAGAGAGAGAGAGAGAGAGAGAGAGAGAGAGAGAGAGAGAGAGAGAGAGAGAGAGAGAGAGAGAGAGAGGGGGGGGAAATAGAGAGAGAGAAAATAATAATATCGGAATAAGAAAAAATAAGAAAAATCGGAATAAGGAATACCTTTACGAGAGACGGGACAGGAGCGGACAGCTTCCCTGGTGGCAGCATCCTCACGCTCATTTAAAGAGACATCAATATAGCTGGGAACCCCACAAAAATCAACCGAATTAAATTTACTGTGAATATGTAACAACCAATGCTGGATTTCGACAACCACTGGATGAACCGGATTAAAGGACCCGAAAACCATGAGGACACTACGTGAGTCAACAACAACTACAAAGGAAGATTGACAACGAGAAAGCAGGAGACGAAGAGCATAGAGAATAGCTTAAAGCTCCGCTGTGAAGGTGCTAGTCTCCGGAGGTAAGCGACACATATAAGTGCAATCAGGAAAAACAACAGAGTAGCCATCACCGTCCGCAGACTTAGACCCATCGGTGAAGACGGAAACGGAGCGGGAGTGAGAAGAAAAGTGCTCAAGGAACAGATCACAGAAAAACAGATCACAAGATCTGAGACCATGAACACCCTCACAAGACAAGATCACAGACTGTCACTAGTCGCTTTATTCTAGAAGGTCAGTCCCACTCCCATACTGGTTTTTTATATCCAGAAGAGATTGAAGGACTTTTCGGATAATGTGTATTGGCGATTAGAGCACCATCCTGAAAGAAACGTTCTTCCATCGGCACTGCGTCCCGTTGAGTGTTGTCTGCTGAACGTCGGGCTCTGCTTGCACTACAATGCATTCCAAACAACTCAGTCAGGGCTACCCCTCTAAACAACTAGGCATTGAACATGACAAACCTCCTGAAGATCCTCAAGGAAGTGACAGACGTAACTACCATTGTCAGGAAGGAGTTAATTTTGTATTTTACTTTGATAATGCAATGGACCTAGAACTGATACAGCATCACGACAACAACATTTATACAGTGAATATCCGGACCATCTTCCCACGTCAACTTCTTGCCGTACAACAGTCATCCCCAGCAAACACAAAACGTTGTTGCAATCTCCACAAACGTAAGGGTTATGGGAATGACTCTTAGTGAAAATGGTGCAGAAAGCATCTGAGCAACGTTTAATCAAAAATTTTTACAAATATTTATATATGTATATATTAGTATATTTTGGTAGCAGTTTTTCATGTAAACATATGTTGTTAAATATGACCGAAAAAGTAAGATTAATAATTCTAACACGAATTTTCTCATTATTGCTTATGCTTCTTTTTACTGTTGATGGTAACTGAAAAAATCAATTTTCCAAAATTCATTTTTATTTCTAGTCTGACGCGATGCTTGAACGCGTTTCGTAATAACTTATTACATTTTCAAAGACTTTAGTTTACACACACACAACTGTAACCTGAAAACACTAAATAGAGTTATACTTATGTTATACTTATTAAACAGCTTGACTTATATATGCTTGCATTTGGGTGAGGTGATATGTTGCAACAGTTTTGGATGAGGTGAACAAACTTTTGACCAACACAAGACAGAACACGGAACAATGGGTATTAATTGGAAAAATAAGAGGGAAGAATGGAAGTAACTGCAAAGGGCCTATTGACCCATACTTCCTCTTGATGCTTCTATATTGGTACGGAGTCTTGAAGTGGGTAGAATATAGTTATGCATTAACTAGCTGTTGATTGCTGGCGTTGACTTTTTGATGTGTAGTGCCTCACAGATGTCAAGCCACTTGCTATCGCTGTATCTATCAATGATTTCTGTGTTGTTTGTTAAGACTTCTCTTTTGATGGTCTGGTTTGATGTGGGAAGAGATTATATGTTCCTTAATGGAGCCCTGTTGCTTATGCATTGTTAATCGCTTGGAAAGAGATGTTGTTGTCTTGCCTATATACTGAGTTCTTTGGGGCTTACAGTCCCCAAGTGGGCATTTGAAGGCATAGACGACGTTGGTCTCCTCTAAGGCGTTCTGCTTTGTGTCTGGAGAGTTTTTCTTGAGTAGGTTGGCCGGTTTTTTGGTTTTATAGTAAATAGTCAATTGTATTTTCTGATTTTTGGTTGTAGGGATAACGTTCCTATTAACAATATCATTCAGGACCCTTTCCTCCGTTTTATGAGCTGTGGAAAAGAAGTTCCTGTAAAATAGTTTAATAGGGGGTACAGGTGTGCTCGTTGACTCTTTAGAGGTTGCATGGCGTTTCACCTTTCTTTATATGATGTCTTCAACGAAACCATTGGAGATGCCGTTGTTGACTAGGACCTGCTTTATTCTACAGAGTTCTTCATCGACTTGCGTCCATCCTGAGCTGTGGCTGAGAGCATGGTCGACGTAAGCGTTGACAACACTCCTCTTGTACCTGTCTGGGCAGTCACTGTTGGCATTGAGGCACATTCCTATGTTTGTTTCCTTAGTGTAGACTGCAGTGTGTAAACCTCCGCTCCTTTCCATGACTGTTTCATCTAGAAAGGGCAGCTCCCCATCCTTCTCCATCTCGTAAGTGAAACTCAACACAGAATTCCGCTCGAATGCCTCCTTCAGCTCTTGCAGACGTCTGACATCAGGTACCTGTGTAAAAATGTTGTCAACATATCTGCAGTATATGGCAGGTTTCAAGATCATGTCAACTAAGACCTTCTGTTCGATGGTACCCATGTAGAAGTTCGCAAACAGTACACCTTGGAGTGAACCCATGGCGACCCCATCTACTTGCTTATACATGTGCCCATCAGGGCTCAAGAAGGGTGACTCTTTAGTACAAGCTTGGAGTAGTTTCCTTAGAATGTTTTCTGGTATGTCAAGAGGAGTACAGGCCGGATCACGATACACTCTGTCCGCTATTATCCCGATTGTTTCATCCACAGGTACGTTGGTAAACAGTGAGTCTGCGTCCAACGAGGCTCTTATCCCTGTGGCCTGTGTTCCCCGCAGTAAGTCAACAAATTCCTTTGGAGACTTCAGGCTGAAAGCACAAGGTACATAAGGAGTCAGCAAGCCGTTGAGTTGCTTCGCCAGTCTGTACGTGGGTGTGGGTAACTTGCCGATGATTGGCCGAAGTGGGTTTCCAAGCTTGTGTGTCTTGATATTTCAATACGCATACCCAGGTTTGTATTCCCCCAATAATCTTTGGCAGGTGAAGTCCGGATTTCTTGGCATTCACAGTTTCGATCAATCTGTTTACCTTTGTTTTCAATTCGGCTGTAGTGTCCTTCGCTACCCTTTGGAATATAGTTTGGTCGGAGAGTATGAGGTTCATTTTCGCCAGATATTCGTCTTTTTTAAGAATGACGTATATTGGCGACTTGTCACCTCTCCTGACGACTATCTCCTTGTTCTCAAAAAGGCTCTTAGCTGCCGCTTTGAGCTCGGAGGACAGTATGGTTCTTCTGTAGTTGCCTCGAATCTTTCTTCCTTCTGCAATAAGTACTGCTTGCAAGGTGTCTTTGATGATGACCTTCTTTTGTGTCTCGAGGTCGAATATGTCGTCCAACCGGATCTCCAACTCCACTTTCCGGGCCATCTCACTTGGTGTGGACATAACGTAACAGTTTATACCCAGATTTAGGAGAGTGACTTGATCATCAGTGA